CTTATTCCACTGAGCCATCTCCCCAGCCCCTTTTCTGTTAATATTTATGAAACTTACTAGGAGCATTTTGTCCTCTCCATTGGGTTGACTCAATCACTTTCATTAATTCTGACTATATTTTTCATTCATTCTTCCAAATTCATTCTAAATTTGTCGTCTTTCTTACTTGGTTGCTTATCCTGGCATCTTTTCCTTAAGCCACCACTTCCCCTTTGCCCAGGTTTATCATGTAATATCTGAGGTGTACAAAGCGACATGGAACAATGAAACAATGCAGTGACCCATGAGCTCATTCTCCAGCTTAAGAACTGTGATAGCAGTGGACTCCTCAGTAGTGTCTGCCAGGCCCCTCTGGAGGTGACCACTATCCCACTTTTGTTGGTCCACTAGTGTTGGTCCACTCACTTGAACACTCACTCTTGTGTTTCTGTTCCAACACCAAATGTAGGGAGAGATTGAAGACTCAAGAAAACTTTAGATATTGTGTCTTGTGTTTGACCCTACAGTCTTGCTCTCTCACCTTTTTCATCTGTTGCTCAATCCCTTGGTGATGTTCCATTGTCTAATCAGGTTGGAATTTGAGCCTTTTAAAGGACAGGGACTGTGATTTTTCCTTGACTTACCATCATTATCTAACTATTGCATAGTGGAAATTAGAATAACTTTAGAATCAGGTGACTGGTTTTAGCTCTGTCAGGAAAGACCTTGTGATTTGAGGCCAAAGTCTAATGTCAGACTGGAGATGTAGCTCAAAGGCACAGAGTCTGCTTGGCAAGTGCAAGGTTCTGAGTTTGATTCCTGGTACCAAATTAAAAAAAAAAATCTAGTATCTGCAGTGTGCCCGGCATAGTAAAGCTCTCTAGAAGAATGTAAGTTTCCAGCTGGTGAAGTTTTTTGTTATTGCTTTTTTTTTCTCTATCACTGTTATTTCTCCAATGCTTAAAATGGTATCTAGCATATACTATCTGTCAATAATTATTTGCTGAAATTAATGAACACACAAGTTGGGGTCTTAGTGTGTTGATCAGTAATATGATCATACTTCCTGATCAGTAATTAATGTGATTACACCATGATTATAAACATCCTTTCCATCTCTACAATTCGTTAGGCCAGCATAAAGCTAGGTACAGAGTCTCAATAAGCATGTGTTGGTCAACATAGACTGGCTTGACGAACACAACCTGTGGGCTACTGGCTGCACACGCAGTAACAGGTAAGCAGCAGCCAGGTGTTCTTCCCATCCTTCTACTTTCATCCTCACTCATGTGAGCTCTTATTTATGCCTTATTTTGCTCCCTATGAAGCACCTACCCAAGACAGGTCCCTCCCACCCATGTGCCTCCTGCTCCTCCCAGCGGGTTGCCAACCTGCTTACACAATTCTGGCTGTGGTGAATGTTTCATAGAGTGTTTTGCTTATGGTAGTTGTGTATTTCCAGCTTGGTGGCCTTCTGGGTGACCTTTAATTATCACTTAGGTTTCATGATGGATCTAACTCATGGGAGAGAGTGAGCAGAGGACTTTTTAGGGTCTGGGCAGTAAGTCAGAGAGCAGTCTAAATCCACCACCAAGCTTATTGAGGAGACCCCATTAGCTATACTGCCTTATTAAATATAGTCTCAGGGGCCTGCCCTCATTTGTATCTTCTGGGGAGGAAAATGTCAGCCTTGTTAATTGTTATTCTCTTTCTGGCTCATCATGTTAGCTTAAAACCCTTTAAAAAATCAAAACAAAACCAAAAAACCTTAATTTTGTGACTTTTTTCTTTTAGGGCTTTTTTTTTTTTTTTTTTGGGGGGGGTCCTGTTTGTTCAGACAAACCTGGACATAAATTTTATTATTTTTCTTGTTAAGCATTGATAAGGAGCTCACTGACATCATTTGGATTGCTGCTTGTTATTAAAAAAAATAGTTCAATATAGGCTGGAAGTTAAAAATAGAAATGATCTCGTTAAAGTGAATTCTTATTCAGTCTTGTTAGTGATTTTTCTAGAATAGATTGCAGTTTAAAAAAACAGAAAAAAATGAAGTTTTAAGTGTGCTTGCTTTTTTCTTTTTGTATAATTTAGCTTATGAAACATATAATTGTGATAAAAAGATCTTTATTTAAAAGACAATTAACCTGTCTTTTCTTTGACCTTATTTTTGTGTCTGAATTTACCTGTGAAGGAAGCAGGCTTGTCAAGGATATTCATAAGTGCGGTACATTGGGTCATCAAAAAACCAAAATAAGGGGAATTTGAAGGCAATTAGCATTAGTAGGATGGAAGGGAGGAGATAAGAGGAGGAAAATACTAGAGTAGCTCTGTGGAGAGAAACATCTCTCTTTATTTCCAGCTACCAGGAGTGGGCGTGGTAATGGAAAATCTGGGAGGGAAGTGGTTTATTTTTCACATAAACACCATCTGTGGAGTGCATAAGAGGTGCATTTTAGCGATTTGGGGGGGGAGAAAATCAAACATTGGAGCCAAGCTTGAGAACAAGAGGTGAACAAGAGCTCTCTCTCTTTTTTTTTTTTTTTGTTCCTCGAATGGCTTCAGGGCACTTTTGGCCAGCGGGAGAGTTGTGAGGTTCGAACTCCAGCAACCTGAGGCTGAGAGCTTTGTGGAAGCAGCCACTTAAAGGCCTGAGCTAGGGCCATGCCGCCGAACAAGAGCTCTCAAGAGGGGGAAGGGTGTGGTGGGACAATGGTTGCCCCTGGCTCCTGGAGTTTCCTTAGTGGTCATCGGGTCCTATGAAGCATGCTGTTGGAATATGTTGTTATGTTGCTTGTCTGACTAGGAGAAATAAGGTCTAGCCTGAGGTTCAAAGGACTGAGTTTACTCAAATTCTTTTATGTAAAGACTGTATGTATTTCTTGCTGTTCCACCCAATCAGTTGGTAGCAAGTCTCCTAATGCTGCTTCCCTAAGCGTTCATTAAAATTTTTTAGGTGTTGGTTTTCGCTTTGCTTCCTACATTGATAATTATATGGTGCTGCAGAAGGAGCCTGCTGGAGCAGTGGTCTGGGGCTTTGGCATACCTGGAGCCACAGTGACAGTGACCTTGTGGCAAGGGCAGGAAGCCATCATGAAGAAAGTGACCAGTGTGAAAGGTAAGGCAGCCCCCATCTCTGTTCAGCTATTGTCTTCTTCTGCCACCTACTGGATTATTTGAAAACAAGTGTTTGGGCTCCAGCTTAGGCCATCTGTCTATCTATCCATCTGTCCATCTGTCCACTTACTCATCTATCTGTAAAAGTTATTCAGTATTTATCATGTGGTAGACACTAAAGATATAAAGAAAACAAGGCTCAGAGTCCCGGTGTTCAAGAACCCCACGGAATATGGACAGACACCAAGTCGTGTAGTAGTGCGCTAATTGCTATGATGAAGGTGAATTTGGAGCATCATGGAGTGCCGAAGAAAAACATCTAATTCAGATTAGCTGGTATGGGAAGGCTCCCGTAGAAGGTGATGTTTGAGCTGAATCTTACATAAAAGAGTGGCAGCAAGGAGGCATAGTTAAGAAACTTAGCCCTAGAATTCACTGTCTGGAGTCAGCCCCTGCCTCATTTAATGACTGTATAAACTTGGACATGTTATTAAAAATGTAGAGACAGTTATATGAGATTATTGTGAGGATTAAATGAATTAACACATTAGGAACAGTGCCTGGCACACAGTAAGGGCTGAATATGTTTTAGCAGTCATCATTGCTGTTACTTAGCCAGTCACTGAAATATTTAATGAGCGGCCACTATGTGCTAGATACTGGTGACATGGTGACAAGCAAAGCAGATGTGGCTCCTTTAATGCATCTCGTAGGTTAGGGCAAAAGAGAGGAAAATGGTGAGTAGTAATGATTATGAAAAGTGCCACAGTAAGTAAGGACAAGCGGGGGTGGGAGTGCATGCCTGCAATCCCTGCGCTCTGTGGAGCTGAGGCAGGAGGATCGAAAGTTGGAGCCTAGATTGGGCAACTTAGCAATTTAATAAGATCTTATCTCAAAATTAAAAAAAAGTATATATATATATGGGCTTAGGCTCTGGGTTTAATTGCCCAGCACTGTAAATAAGAGTAGAATGTTATTATTTTTTGATCTAGGGCCTTTTCTCTGAGCAACATCTCAGGACATTTTTATTATTTGAAACAGTGTCTCACTAAGTTGGTAAATTGCCCAGATTGGGCTCAAACTTGCAGTCCCCCTGCCTCATCCTCCCAGCGTGCTGAAATTGTGTCAGGTTGCTATTTTAGAAAGATCTCATTGGCAGGACTGTGGAAGATGGATTAGAGATCAGTAAGAGAGAGGAGGAGGTGGGACCTGGTAGCAGACTGTTGTAAATCCAGGCCGTACATGGTGGAGCTTAGCCCAAGAGAGTGGCTGTGAAGAGGAATGTTCCAGAAGGTGAGAATGAGCAGCTTTCTTGAGCAGGGACATTGGAGGAAGGGGCCTCTGTCCAGAAGCGATAAGGATGCATAAATCAGTGTGTGCAGGAGGCAGAGCAAGAAGTCCCTGGATTCAGGAAGGTGTTCTTAGAGCTGATCTTAGAGGTAGCTCTAAGGTGATGGGATGTAGAGAGGTGGGAAGACTATTCTGGGAGTGGTGGTGTTAATTATGGAGTTGGAAGCTTGAACAGTGACTGGAATATCTGTATATATAGACAGGGAGGCTGGTGGAAATGTTACTGGCCCTTGGAAGGAAGAATTTCTTCATTAGTTTTGTCAGCATACAGAACTGATTATCCAGAGCTTTCTAGATCCTGGTGATGTGTCTTCATAATTCAGCAAGTTCCATTCAGCCAGCATTTTAAATATTATGTGCCAGACGTAGTTGCAAGGTAAGCATTTCTACTTCTTGAGTGTTTAAGACTTTTTAAGATAAAAATGTTGGTTGAAACTAAGCAACCTAAGGAGAGACTCTAGTTAAGATATAATTACCTGTTGGTATAAATGCTGTTGGTGACGTGCAGGGTGTACTGCAAATGAAGAATTCTTGGGTGATCAGGGCTCTCTGTTTGTGCTGTTTGTCTGCAGCCCTACCACCCAGATCTCGTCTGTTTGTGCTATGTTCTTCTTAGTAGTGAGCAGCACTATGTGCAAATAGTGGCCTTCTGAATAAATGATGTTGGTTTAGAAATCCAATGGACTGCTGTGGCTCAAAAATAAGAAGGGGTGTCATGATGTTCATAATGCTACCAGTAAATATTCAGGAGGCAGAGACTACATAGTGTTGTACTGATAGATACAGAAATACAGAAAGTGCATGATATTATGCAGCATTTTATGTTTTTAAATTGTTCTTGTGCATTGCTTTTAGTGGTCCCTCTGTTTCAGAACCAGCACTTGAGGTGGGCAGGGATGAAACAGAAGGGTAGGCTGTGAAGGGAAGGAATGGCAGGTAATCATTAAGAGATGAGCTTCCTTTATAGTGAATGTGAACCTGCTCATTTATCTTGAGTTTAATTTTATAAACATCTGTCAAGGGCTTATGTGTATAAAACACTAAACAAGAAACCTAGGAAAATACAGAGAAGAAGACAAATGGTGCTCATTCTGCACAAACTCAGTGTGTCATACTGTCCTTCTCCATTTCATAGCTCAGCCTCATGGAACATTCTAGTTGCTACGCCAAAAAGTGACATGTCAGTTGGAGTTCAGACTAGCAAAACTTAAGAGAATGAAGTGAAGCATAAGCTGTTGATAATTTCCTAGGAAAAGAGGCTAATGGTGTTGGTAGATCTATTCATCTGCCTTTCCAGTTACTATAGAACAAAGGTTTGTTGGTCTGTAGAGGTCAATAGTTCTACACCAGTGAGAACTTTTCTCTCTCCTATCCATGAAGAAAAAGTGGAGAAAGTGTTATTTGGAGTAAAGAAGGCAGACATGTAAGATAATTCATAGAACAGACAAGAAAATGTCTCTCAAAAGAGATACTGTGGGGGACATTATTGGATGGTCGGTTTCTATTTTAGATTATGATGAGGATTCTGGGATTTCTCAGCCAGGCTTCCCTCAATGTCTCCCTTGACCTCTGCTAATATTTAATTCATTACCTATAATCTAGAAAGTGGGAACGAAGCCAGATTTAATGATAGAAAGTGTTTGTTCAGTAGACTAACACTTAGGCATAAGGAAGAGCAAAACTTGAAGGATAACTGCAAACACGATCGATACCGGGTAAGTTCAAATCATGTTGTCAAGGGCTGGGGAGATGGCACAGTAGAATAAGTGCTTGCCTGGCAAGCTCAAGGGCCTGAGCTCAATCCCTGGTCTCACAAAAAAAAAAAAAAAAAAAAAAAAAAGAAAGAAAAGAAAAGAAAAGACAAGAAAACAAATCATGTTGTCAAGTAATGCATGGTGCTTCTTTCAGACACAAGGAGGAAAACCAGGGAGAACAGTGTGAATGTCTAGGTGATAGTATGAGAGTGTTTCTGCCTGTATTTGTCATAATGATTGAATAGATTCATTTTTCTAACTTGGAAAAATGTAAAAGGCCTAGAATTCTCCTGCCCTGGATGCAGTGCAAGCCGTTTGTTGCTGCTTTATCCTACATAATGAGTTACCACAAACTTAGACACTTAGGACAACATATCTCTATTGCCGCCCAGTTTCCGTAGGTCTGAATCTGGCCATGGGATGGCTGGGTTCTCAGCTCAGGCCTCACCAGGCCGAAGCCAGGCATTGGCCAGGCCATACTCCTAGCTGGAGGTGTGAGGAGGGGACTCGACCTGCATCCAGGCTCCCTTAGGTTGTTTGCAAAATTCATTCCCTTGAGGGATATTCACTTGGCACCATCTCCGGTACTTTCTGCCTCTAACTTCTAGACCCTCTGTTGAAAAACCTCACCTTATTAGGTTAGCCCTAATAAGCTAACCTACGTTGTTATTCACTGAAGGATACAGATGAAGGACTTTAGTCTCATCTGCAAAAATCTCTTCACCTTTTCCATAGAATGTAATGTAACTGTCACAGTAGACTGTCATCTTCCCTTCGCCATTTTCTGTTGAGTGGAAGCCAATCTCAATCTGTTTGCCCTTGAGGGAGGGAGTAATACGAGGCTGTGACTTTGCAGGTTGCCTTGGGTGTGTTGGCCACAGCATGCGGTAGTGGAAGCAACTTGCATGAGTTTTATTAACAGAAAAGTTATTTTCTTTTCATTCACATTTGGCAATTGTGGAATCTTAGTTATTAAATATATTGCTGGGATACACTCCTTGGTAGCCACAGGTTAAAGCAGGGAAGGTTATATTGGCTCAGTTCATAGAGGTTTCAGTCCATAGTCGACTGACTCCAGGGATGGCAGAGGTATGGTGGAGGCAGAACACATTCATGGTGTAGCACTAGGGAAGTGGAAAGCCAGGAGGAGGGTGGGAGACTCACCCTTCCAGCCCATGCCCACCTCCCCCTGGGCTTCACCTCCCAACATCACACTGAGCTATAAACCTGTCCATGGACTAATCCACTGATGAGTGTGTATCTCACTCCTGTGACCCAGTCATCTCGTGGAAGCCCTGCCTATGAGTGCAGGAGGCTTTGGCAGGGACATCAAGATATAAACCATAGCGGGTAGCTTTTGAACTTTAGCATTAGAAGTAAGGCCTTCATCTTCAGGCTACTTCCGGAAACCACAGAAAACCTTTGTCGCTGGTGAAGAGCCAGGGCGCTGTGCAGAGCCGTGAATAGGGCTGCCTCTTTCAGCTGTACGTTTTTCCTCTTAGGAAGGGAAAGCTCAGGGATAATTTTTCTTTTGTTGGCATCTGAGATTTTGGCACATTAACCTGCAAAATAATTCATATTGATGTGAACAGCAAACAGAAGACAGCAAGAAAGCACATTATAAGTAATCATGTCTGTAGAGAAAATAATTTTCACTTATTCCTTTTGATTATTTGCTTTTCCCATTTTTGAGGTTGGATTAGTAAGATGAAGAGAAAATGGTGATAGAAGTTGTTTTTTACTTATATCCTTGGCTTGAATATGAAGAACAATAGTCAGAAATAGGCCACCAGATATGCTGCTGTGCATGAAAATATAAAGCCCTCGTCAATTTGCATGGCTTTTTCATCAGTGTAACCCAGGGCTGGGGCTTATTTTCTGTCATTTACTTGACGGATCGCCTGGCACACAGTAAGCACTCTAAGTCACTGTATAATGAAGGCAGGAAATTAATCTTTCTAGCTGGTGGACAAAAGAGTACAAGGGAATGGAGATTTGAATTCAATGAAAATGAGAATTTACAGAAGCCTGGGCCTGGATTGGGTAGAGATTACAAGATAGCAGCTGATTAGGGTCCAGAAGGAGGCAGGAGAGCAACTGTTGCTGAGAAAGCTTCTAAGAGCCAGCAGAAAGCCAGTTGGATAGTGAACTGGAATCTAAGGATGGGGAACTCTCCTTTTTATTTTTATTTTTTGGAATTCTTCTTTGGCTAGTGGCTCATTTATTATTTGGACTCAACCTAGTGGACATGATGTTCAACATAGTTTCTAAAAGCTAATGGGATTCACTCCTGTGGTAGGCTTCTCTTTGACAAGCCAGCCCTGAACTGACAAGCCAAGAGCAAATCATTTCTTCTCCTGGAACATGGTGGTTATTATCATCAGGGTGTACAACGGAGAAGATTTAATTAAAACACATAATTTATAGGATTATTTTATAATGTTCACTGAAAGAGTCAAATGCAAAAGAGTACGGGAGATCTGTCCACACACTAGAGACCCAGAGAATCCAGCTGCAGGCTTTGGTCCCATGGTAATGTCCTGCACAAGTCCACCCGAAGACCTAGAGCCCATGGCAGTGTCCTCCATAAGTCCAGTTGGAGTCCTAGAGCCTACAACAAAGTCTCATGCAATTCTGTATCAAGGGTCTGCACTGGGAAGGCCCAAAGGTCAGTGGTGGAAGCTACAAAGTGCACCAGTGAGATGAAGGATCAGGACCACTAGGCTGAAGGGTCTGCACTGCATCCAGGAAGCAGTGTTCAAGGAAAGGACCCGGGCTCCCCCGAGGAAAACCATGGCCATCCCCAGCAACAGCAAGGACCTGTGCTCCTCTATGAGAATAGCCACGTTCATAGGAGGAAAACTAGTATGACAAGCTTGTCTGGGAGAATCAACAGCACATCATCTTCCCCTCCAGTTCTCTATGCTGTTGGCCACAATCCTTAGGCAGGCCTTCCACACCCAGCACCATGCTGATTCAGTCCAGCTGGGTTTTACAAGTTGACCATTGGTTACGCACCACAATGCCTTTTGCCTGTAAAGTGCAATCTCACCTGTGCCTTTGGTCTAAGGACCATCTTGGTAGGTGTGGCTTTCCCGCACATATAGTATTTATATAGGAATAAAACTATCATTTTACACAGGCTCTTGCTGAGTCTGTAGAATAGGAGCTTCTCCTGCTTTGACAGGAAGTTAACTTCTAACAGCCATCATTGTGTTAGGGCTTCTTTTTCTTTCATCAAATGGGAAAAGTAAAGAGTTAGCAACCAGAAGAACTGAGGGATGAACTAGCCCCGAAGGAGGTTTGCCAAAGGCTTTGAGGAAGTTGAAAGCAGATTTCTCTGAGGTGTACATTCTTGGGAGAAAGATTCAAGCCTTGATTCCCACTTCATTTCAGGCTCTAGGCCCTCCTGGCACCACCACATTCTCTGGTTGCAATAAAATGGTGCAGTTTTGTTTTGTTCCAAGCCTTCCTATCTTTTTATTACTAGGCAGCAACTCTTTCCTGAAATTCTGGTGCTGGTAGTTTTCTTAAGTGGCCATGTGGCTTGGATTAAGTCTAAGGTACATGACTGATTAATAGGAATGGCTAGGAATGCATTGTGTTAGTAGCAGGAGGGTAAGGAAAAGTGCTGTTAAGGGTCTTCTAGGGCTTGACATCAGCACTCTAGATGAGCAAGATTGGTTGCAGGACAGAGCTAGCAAGATGTGTCAGTGCAGGAAGCCTGGAAAGACCTTGGCAAGACTGTATTAGGACAGATTGGAGCGTCTGCCTGCTCAGAAGTGTGAGCCATACGGAGCATGTCACACCTGTGCGATACAATCTGTACTAGCTGCCCACTGTTTCCAAAACAGTGATTTTTCTGGTTTAGGTGAATTATATAGTTAATATTTTGGTGTCTGGCTATTGATGATAGAAAAACAGTGGCTAACATTTGGTCCTGCCTTTTTGGACCTCTTAGAGATGGCAGTAGCGAGCTCAGCTCGTCGTGCTTTTAGAGGACCCTTTCACTAATGCCTCGGGGGTTTTGGACCTTTCCTCCGGAACTCCAAAAGTTCCTTTTGCGTTAAGCTCTTACCAATGTTTGAAAATGTGCGTAGATATCTCATGCTTCTTTTCAGTTTTTTTTTTTTTTTTTTTTTTTTAGGGAAAGGTCTACAGGGTGTTCAGGGTCTCGCTACTAGATTGGATTCATAGTGATCTGCCTGTTTACAGCCTCCCAAGTGCTGGGATTACAGGCATGAGCCACCACAGCACCAGTCTCAATTGCTGTCTCAGTGGGGAGGCGGGCAGGGCCGGCACAGGCCTGGGGATCAAACCCTGGCCCTCGTGCCTACTGGTAGGCGCTTTAATCCTCTGAGTTGTTTGGCCAGCCCTTCTTTTTAGTTCTTGCTGATTAGAAAAAACTACTTTGCACAGTGTCTAGCTCCTTGTAGGCTCTTGGCTGGCATTTTTATAATTATTATGTCTTCTGAGTTGGGTATAATATCTTCTGAGTGCTCTGTTCCCAGTTGTTACCACTATTTCCCTTTGAATTTATTGATTTGATAGGCACAGACTATAAATCAGTTCATATTCTTTGGAACATGCTTTAACGTGTTGGCTTTTCTCTCTTCCCACTTTCATTTCTTTAATTTTATTCATGTTACTTAGCTCTCTTAGGTGTACTTTTGCTGTGTGGAAAGTATTTTCTTTAGATCTCTGAATATAATCTTGGCAGCAGTCGTCTGGTCAGTGGCCAGGAGGTAGGAAGATGGTAGGGAAACCACTGAATGAGCTCTGAGTTTCTGAAAGGGGGTCTTGAGTAGCTTCTCAGCTCCCTAATTGAGTCCAAAAACCTTAAGTATATAACTGTCAAGATAATTAATTGGGAAAATAGAAATCTTTTACATAGCTTGATTTCTGTGCCTCCTTTTTTTAAAAAAATGTATTTGGTTGTTATAGGATCTCACTACGTAGCTCGGACTCATAGTCATCCTCCTGCTTTCAGCCTCCCCAGTGCTGGGATTACAGGTGTGAGATGCTAAACCCAGACTGTGGCCGGCTCAGCCCAGGTCCCTGCGCTTGCCTAAGCTTGCCTAAGCAGGTGCTTCCGTCGGCTGAGCTATCTCGACGGCTCTCCCACTGCGTTTTGATGTGTCAGTTTCTTTGCACACATTTGCTTAATAGTAGAACTGAGAGCCACCGGAGTGTGCTGATCCTTCTTAGCAACATGGGAGGACTTGGGAGTTGATGATAAAGGTGATCTAGTCTCTTAGGTGGAAGCATACAAGTATAAACAGTTTTCTCTAACCTGTGCTCCGTTTGATTGGATAATTATAGGTTTGCTTGGGGTGCTGTGTGAATTGGAAAGATTAGATTGCATTAATATTGACAGATAGTGTAACAAGGATTTCTATTTTCTGTTTTTTGCTAAACTCCCTTGAATTTTAATCTGTGCATATTTTTGTCTGTCCTCATTTAGGATTATAACTGAGTAGCGTATTTTTTCTATAAATGGTTCAGTTAAAAATAAAGATTGGTACAGATTAAGGATAAAAATGCTGCTGCTCTTGTCAGTTCTATCCTCTTGTCTGAAATTTGGCCAATCTTTAGCTTTGAATCCAGTTCAGCTCCTCATGGAGGCTGGGAATAGCCACAATTGAGTGTGATCAGGCATCAATTTCATTTGAAGTGATTGATTAATTCCGTGGAGGCCTGTTGTTATTTCAGCACCCTCTGACACCTGGATAGTGGTGCTGGATCCTATGAAGCCTGGAGGACCTTTTGAAGTGATGGCGCAGCAGACTTGGGGGCTGATGAACTTGACCTTGAAAGTGCATGATGTCTTATTTGGAGATGTCTGGCTCTGCAGCGGGCAGAGTAACATGCAGATGACTGTTCTGCAGGTAATGTGCAGCATCTAAGCAATAGTAAGTGACAGTGGCCATGAGGGAGAAAAAAAGGAAGAGAGGGGAATAAGAAGGAGAAGGAAGGCTGTTTCTGTTTCTTCAGTACTTACCATGTGCTAGGATCTGTTCCAGCTGCTTTCACATTTTAATTAATTCGACTTAATGATCTTAAGAGGTTAGTGATTAAACTGGCAGATTACTGGTTGGCATAAATGTGTTTATATGCTTGATTTATACCTTTAATAGGTTAGTAACTTGGAAGGATGACTGTTTTCCCTAGTTATTTTTGAAAAACTGAATTTATTCATTTTGCAGTTGTTTTATTTTCTTGCCTTTCTTTATCTATAAGAAACATTTCAAATGGAGGTCTAAGAGTCTGCATCTAAGGCTATGACTCCGTTCAATTATTTTTAAAAAAAATTTATAAAATAAAGTACTTCCACATAATTTGGGATTTCTTGTTTTACTTATATAGCTTCTTTCCCTTATAGTTCCTCTTTTTTTAAAATTAATACCAAATAATGTTACTAAAAATCTCACTGTGGACAAATGTCCTATTTTATCATTAGTTTTATGATTCAGACTCTCAATTCACATATCGATGTCTTCCCAATATTTTATTTGCTCTCACTTTCTGCCTTTCTTACATATCTGGAAGCTTTTAAATTAAGATGCTTATTGAACTGAATTTTTATTGGATGCTTAGCCTAAGTGCATGCAAAATTAAAAGTTTTGTCTCTTTTGTCAGAAATGATGGTTTTGTATAGAAGTGGAATTGGTAACTCATTTAAGAAAACAGTATTCTTCTTAATGCTTTAATTACACTTCCATGTTTGTATAGAAAAGCAGGGACCAGATATGTTTGTATCTATATAGTCATTTTCTCAATAGCATTCTATGCCAAGGGATCCCATCCCATTTTCTGTCAAGCTAAATGAGATCGTGATTGTTAAGAGTAAACACATTCTTTCTGTCTAGAATTTACTCCTAGGCATCTTCTGTATTGAGCTGGGGCTATGAGCTCTGAAATCTAAGGGAACAGGAAAACAGATTCCATCTGAAGCATCCAAGTGTTAATTTTTAATTTTAAACCATGCACTCAGCATGCAAGACAGCATTTTAGGTGCTAATAGTTCCAACAGCCGTGTTTCTAGTCTTTTAACAGTCCATAAACCCTCATATTTTGATCAGAAGGATGTACTATATGACACCCCCTCATTCATTTTACCGCTTTCCTTTTCCAGTTCCCAGTACACACTTGCATGCGCGCCCTGCTCCCCCAGCCAAGCATCTTTCTTTCTTCTTTCCCCTCCATGTGGCTTTTCTGAGGGGGTAAGATTCTCACTATAACCTACCACTCTTCACATTCAAAGAAGGAAATGGCAGATTGTATGCCCATCTTGTTGTTAGGGTAAAGTGGAATTTTAAAACTGGATGTTATTTATAACACTGAGTGAGATGTTTGTAAGTGGAGAAAAATCTAAATGTTCATCTGTCGCCTCCTAAGTCAGGGTAGGTCTAAAGACTTGGCTATTTTGAGGTCGGTTCTGAAAAAGATGGCCAATGTCAAGAAACCCATTTTTCAATGTTTTGGCACTCCCTACATTCTTACTTTCCAAGTAGAAAAATTAAAATCCAGAAGAGAAGTGCTGTTACCACTTCCCAGTAGACAGAGTCTTGGGAGTTATGCCGGCCAGCTTATTTATGGCTATTATCTCAGGCTTAAGGCTGCTGGTATACTGTAGTAGAAGGCAAAATCACTTTCAGAGTCTCAAAAGTCTTTAAGTCAACACTTAAGTTTCTCCATCTCTTTCACTACATTTGTGCATAAGCATGCACACACGTTCACGTGAACATTTGCACACGTGCCTTGCACCTCCATGAGGACCATACCGAGATTCCCTGTGGAAATAGATTCTTGATGCATCTTCATTAATTCAAGAATGTTGTATAAAGGTTACAAAATGAACACCAGTGAGCAGCTGCTTTGATGGAGAATGGTCTGGTCCCTGGAGAGGCAGCGGTGAGCTCCCTCAGCCTCAGCAGTGTTAATGACTTCAAATACCTTGGTATTCATTTACATCCTCATTTAAATACTTGGTAGAAAAATAATTACACTGAGGTGTTTGATGAGATGAAATCTGATCTCAGCAGATGGAGTAAGGCTTCCCCTTTCATCAGCAGGGAAACCAAGTGTCATTTAAATGAAAATCTTCCTGAAATCTCTTTATTCCTAAATTTGCAGTCAATATCCCCCAGGAAATGTTTCCATCAAAAAGGCCTAGTGATATCGGGAAGGGATACCAATTGGACAAGTAATTGTCATTAGGTACAGCAGGAATTCTCCCCACTCCCGTTTTTGTTAACAATTTCTCTGACTTTCAAGCTCTGGCTTGAAATAATACACAAATGTGAGTTTGAAGATGGAAGTTTTCCAGGCACTGTTTTTGGATCCAGTTCCGTGTGTCGGTAACAGTGCGGGAGAATGCCAAGCACCCTGACTCTTGGTCCTGGCAGCACTCTGCAGAGTTAGGAACCGGTCTCAAAGACAAGTGGCATGTTCTTCCCAAATGCCTCCCCAAGCTGGCATCGCATTGCCATGAGGCGCTTGGCTTCTCAGCCAGTGCGGCGGAAGCTTGTGTGCGTGGGAAGGAAAGCAGTTTCATCCACTGTTTCCATGGAAGCGACACACGATCCTTCGTGCTTAGTGCAGAACTGAATTTCAGGGGAGGCAACTTTTTTACAGGTGCTTGCTGCTGAAAAATAATTTCCCTGCCAGAATATACTGTGAGTGCATTAGCCCCTTCTTATTTTTCAGTGTTTATTTTACATTCAGCTTACTAGGCAAGACCCTCAAGGAAAAGGCCTGGATTTCCTATGCAGTTTTCCTGATACCATGTGTGTGATCTCTGTCCTCAATGCTGGAGGACCAGTAACCTTTAGAGCCCAGAGCTCCCGCTACCCAGGAGGCAGGCATTTCAGGCTGTGGCTCCCATTGTGACCAAAAGAGCAGTGTCATTTGCATCTGCCCATCTCATTGACCACAGCAGGCTCCAGGGCGAGTCAGAAGGCTATTCAAGGGGTAGCATATTTCAATGAAGTGCTCTGTGGGGGCACCCTGGATGCTCCATCATTCTCCTCTGCTGTGGGCTGCAGGGCCAGCTGTATTCTCTGTGGTGGGTGGGAGGGAAAGCGAGCCAGCTGCACACTTGGTGGATGGCAGCCACTGGAAAGGATCCCAGCCTTCCGGGCCTCTTGCTGTGGTGGCCAAGCCTCAGCTGGAGTACCTATTCTCTGAGGTGGATGGTAACTGGGCTTCCTGATGCTTCCCTTAGCCCTTTGTTTGGGGAGAAGCTGGACTAGCTGAGGAGAATAGAGAGGACTCAAGAGGAAACACACACACACACACACACACACACACACACACACCCAAGATAGTGCCAGTCTATTTTTTTGGACATAGAAACATAACTAAAAAGTCAGGATTAAAAGAAATAGTATATGTACTTAACCTCATAGAAGAAGAACTCTTAAGTGGACTAATGAGTAGGCCATTTAAGACAGTACCCACATTCTTGTCCAGAGGAGTCCGAACCACTGCCGCCAGTCTTGGCAAATGATGAGGGCTCATAAAGCGACATGTCTTTGGACAGATGCTCTTTGTTTGGTTCTTTGGGAATGTCCCGTGCTATTACTCTGAATAAGCGCTACCTTTCATGCCTCCCTGTTTTCTTTCATTGTGACAGTGACTCCAGTATCTATATTTCAGCCATTACTTCTCATGGTTTTTTTTCCATAATTTTATTGAGAAACAAATAGCAATGAGACAGCTTCAAACCAAATTGGTAGGACAGTTTCAATAATTAACACATTGCATACATTCTTCCTAGTGGTTAATTGCTGTACAAGATGCGGACATGATATCCTATTTACAAACACTATTAGAACAAATCCCTCTATTCATTAAGAGAATGTAACTATATATCTATCCTAACCACTTTGAATACACAGATACAAAATGGACATTCATCTGTATACCCTTTTTTTGGTTAAGTTCCGTTATTTGAATATTATAGGTGTGTAAACTCAGCAAAATATTCTAAAAGAGTCCAGTAGTCCATAATACTATTGGGTCTTCCGCTTGACTGGCAATGTCAGAAATTGTTGACCTGAGTCCCCCACAGCTCAACATGACATCATGGCTTTACTTCTTTTTTTTTATGGCTTTATTTCTTATACTTCGTTTTTATACTTCTCTGCTGAATGGATGGTTAAGACCAAGATAAAGCAAGACCTATGCAACAAGAGTTGTAGCTTTTGAGTCTGATAAGGTCAGTGAAATCCCCTCAGGATTTATCCTGAGATCCTGTACCTCAGATTATAGATCCTTTGTCAGTGTCAGCTATGTGGATGAGTCACGGCCATTGCTTGGCCATTGTGTTCTCTGTGAAAGCCTGAGAGAATGTTTTCTCTCCATGTGTCTCATGGTCTTTTGAATACACTTTTCTTATGTGGTATGGACTAAATCTATCTCCCCATGGACTTTATGGCTCCATATTGGTTCACTTCTAAGCACCAGTTTGCTTTTGTTTTTGTTTTTTAGAAGCACTTTTTTTTTTTTTTCTCCCCATGCCTTCCGGGCAGGTTTGGCTGGCTTGAGTTGTGGGGATCAAACCACAACAACTTGAGCCTGACTGCTTTGTTGTTGTTTTGGTTTTTTTGAGACAGGGTCTCACTGTGTAGTTCATGCTGGCCCTGAACTTCCAGTGATCCTTCTGCGTCAGCCTCCTGAGTGCTGGGATTACAGGTGTGTACCACCTCGCCCGGTGTTAGCAACAGGTTGTTTTTTTTTGTTTTTTGTTTTTTTTTTATAAGAAGTTAACTGCCATAAATTTGCATCATCAGATGCTTTTTCAGAGTAAAAGTATTTTTGTTTCAAGGTAACACAGTGGTTTAAGCAATAGCATTCTTCAGTGTAGACTGCTGTATACCTTTCATTTGCCTGAGATTACAGGCTTCATTATATTTGAGCCTTCTTTAGGAAAATGCTACACCATGGTCAAGGTGAGCTACATTATTCAGTCCAGGCCATTACAGGTTTTGGTTGTTATTCATTTGGTTGTTATTCATATTTTCTTGGTCTACTGAAAGCTCAGCAAGAGCTCATTGGGTTAGAGTGTTTACTAAGACTGGCAGGCCGGTTTACCACCCACTAGGTTAAATGACATTTCAAATTCTCTTCTAGATATTTAATGCCACAAGGGAGCTGTCCAACACTGCTGCCTACCAGTCTGTCCGCATCCTCTCTGTCTCTCTCGCTGAGGCAAAGGAGGAGCTGATGGATCTCGACATGGTTGACTTGCAGTGGTCGAAGCCCACCAAAGGTATGTGAGTCCCTCAACATATGTCATGTTGTAGGTAGTACTCGAGTGCCCTCTGTAAGCCTGGACTTGGTTCTTATCTATCTACTTGTTTTTACTGAACTGTCTTTTTATTCATTTCTTATTGACTCTTTATCCCACTCCTGATGGTCACTATCTCCTTTCTTTTCTTTTCTGTTCTGTTCTTTTCTTTTCTTTTCTTTTCTTTTCTTTTCTTTTCTTTTCTCTTTCTTTCTTTCTTTCTTTCTTTCTTTCTTTCTTTCTTTCTTTCTTTCTTCTTCTTTTTTGTGGTACCAGGGATCAAACTCAGGACCTTGTGCTTGCCAGGCAGGTGCTTAAACCTATCTCATGTATTTCTTCCCAAGACTCTACCAATGAATCTTTTCTCCTGTGATGAAACAATGACTCTTCCTTCAGTTTCAATGAAAGTACAGAGACTATTCAGTACGAGCCATTCCAGACTCTTCATATCCGTGAGGACATGTGGCTAGGTTGGACTCATCCAGATGGGCCAGAACACTCTCCCTGGCTCAGGTTTCTAACCTCAATCTTATAAAGAGCATCCTTCAGCCACTGGTAGTCATGTCTTCACAGATTCCAGGGGTGAGGGTGTACACATCTTTGTGTGTGTGTGTGTGTGTGTGTGTGTGTGTGTGTGTAGTATGATTTTTTTGCCTACCACAATCTCATTTTCTATCATTTTAAGGTTGCTTTTGATTTTCTTTACTCAAAGATGTGACTCCAACCTTTCCTCCTGCCTTCCTTGCACTAATCTCCTTTTTAAGTCTCTGCTCCAGCCAAATACTTTAGGAATAGTTCCTATATGGTATGCAGCACACATTTACTGACTCTGTTAAATCCTAGAAATTGGGGATACAGACATGGGGATGAGGAAGTCCGTGCCTCCAGATAGCTGGTAGTGTAGTGGGGAAAACACTATACAGGTCATTACAGTGAGGTGCAGCAACACACCTCTGCACGGAGGACTGTGGGAACACCTGAGCAGGGAGGCAGTATTCATTATGATGTTTATTATCTACCTTTCATTGGTTTTTTTCTGTAGTGCTGAAACTCTTTCCTACTTTTTTTCATATCTCTCGAAGCACTTACCATATTTTGCTGTGCATTTTATAGATAAATACTTAATCCATAGACTACAAGACCTGTGGAGTCAGGTTTAGTTTTTCTATATCTTTCATTGTTGTATCCCAGACATAGTAGTTCTGGTGCATAGTAAGGTTCTATTTTAAAAAAAATCTTTTTGCATAGTAGGTTCTAAATATCTTAATTTGTTGAAAATGATTTGAATTTCCACGTTTGCACCATGAGCTTTTAAAGACTTGTGCTAGAGTTCTGCAGCATTGAGTTTGGGTCTTTCACAGTACCAACCAGTGACTAATATGTAATAGGTCTTTAAAAAGTACTGGGATAAGTCAATTCTTGTCAGCTTAAGGTGTGTGCGTGCTCATCTTTTCTTCAGCTTCCTCTAACATAAAAACTGGTGTCTTTGGCCCATGTTGGTTCCTGGGCCGTAGTGATACAGGAGGCTGCTGAAAATGTAGTAATTGATTTTGGTTTCTGTGGTTCTGTTGGCCAGACTTCTCATAACTTAGGTGTCTATGTCCCCAGTGTGATATCTATAAAGTAGGGTATAAAACAGCCCAGAAGAAAATACATATTTTTCTCTCCCTCCTGTCTGCTTGCTTTTTTCTGTTCATAGAGCTGTGGGAATGTGTGGCAGGTAAGAGGACAGTCGGCAGGACAGGTAGTGCAGAGGCACGGTGGTCTTTGTGCCAGTTACTTACTGAGAAAGATGTATTAATATTCCTAGATTGTGAGGAATGTACAGGGAGCCTGCTTGCCTTGCTAGAGACTTTTGGCTTGGGATTATGTAAACTATTTGTATTCAGATTGAGAGCGTGATAGTTATCATTTGCCTCTGTGCCTGGATGAAAGCCCTATTTCTTCACTGTGAGAACAAACACTTTGGGTAACTGAAAAAGCTGGAGAAAGATAAAAGGAAACCACTACTAAGGCCATAGCCTTCTCCTTTGAAGAAGATTCTCCTTAGCAAAGGTTTAGAGATGGTTGGATTTGGTGTTTTAGCTTCTTATTGCCTTTCATCATAGTCGACTTTTGAAAACCCAGAAAAGTACAGAAAGGACAGCGCATACCCATTCCTTTCACATAGACCCACTTTGTAGCTTTAGTTAATATATCCCTCTTCCCCTGACTGTCTTCCTTTAAATCTTTTTCTGGACAGAAAACTTAGGCAATGGATACTTCACGTACATGTCCGCAGTATGCTGGCTCTTTGGGTGTTACCTGCATGACACTCTACAATATCCCATTGGGCTGATCTCCTCCAGCTGGGGTGGGACACCCATTGAAGCCTGGTCATCAGAAAGGTCCCTGAAAGCCTGCGGAGTCCTTACAGAAGGGTAAGAAAGCATTCTGCGGTGTGGGGACAAGCCTACCGAGGGTCTCCATGCTCTCCTTTGAAGGATTAAATGTATGTTGACTATCTAAGTGTATATTGAATTTGTGGAATTTCTTCATGCCGAAGTAAGATGTTCTTTTCATGTTATCATCATTGCAGTCCTCTGAGAGTGACTGAGAAGGATTTGTGATCCTTTTTCTTAGTGAAAGCAATCACAAATGCTTACTGAGAGTGTTCTGAATGCCCAACATGTTCTAAATCCTTCATATATATTAGTTTTTTTAGTACTCTCAACAACTTCTCAGAGTGAAGGTGCCATTTCCATCCCAGGGAAGAAGACACTAAGTTTCACGGAGCCTTAGTCACTTGCTCGCTGGCATGGCCAGGAAGGGGCAAGTCTGGTATCTTTGATCTTAATCACTGTGTTCTCTCGCCCAAAGAATAAACAGTCTCACAGGAAAAACAGACATATAAACACATCCCCATGAATGCATGAGTATAATGCTTGCGAAAGCCAAGTCCACTTAGGAAAAGCTGGGTCAGGCAGAATGTGAGCAGGGGAGTGGCTATCGTGGCACCTTGGCTACAAGCTTAATTCGTTCCATGAGTCTGGAAAAGATGACCATGTTTGTGTTCATGCGGGAAAGATGGCTGTAGTCATGTTTAGAACCTGATACAGTTTGCAAACAAAAAATTCTGCCAGTTGATTCTGTTTGCAAACCAAATTGTTCATAAAAGCATTCGTGAACCAAGGTACTACACTGTAGTTGGTAAAAATCCCTAGGTTTAGTCTACAGTACCACCCTCCCACCCCCGAAAAAAAGTCCTGACACTAATGCCAATGCAGAGCTGAGCAGAATATTTCCTCCTGTCCTGGATATTGTCACAGTCACTGGGAGGAGGGTGGACCCTGCTGTGGTATAGTTGGGACAGTTTGTGCAACAGCCTGTGAGAGAGTGGACCGTTACTATGGATAGGAAGTGTGGGCTTGGGTGGGACAGGAGGGAGCATCAATCCAGTACATGGTGGTGGTGGCGAGTGGTCGAGGATCAGGTCACCCAGACCTCAGGGTGGGTGTGGGCATTCTCATACCCAGCTGCTGTGAGGATAAATTCAAATATGTGTTCCATAGAGAAACTTGGGAACATGTCCAAAGCTTTTAAAAGATGTACTTTTTAACTCAGCAGTTTTATTTCCTGGAATTTATCTGAAGGAATCATTAAAGATGGATGTGGTAATTTTGCTATAATTATGGCATTGTTCATGCAAGCAGAAAGGTAACTGGGAGTTGTGGTGCAGGTCTGGGATGCTGAGCAGGAGGACTGCAGATTTGAGCCCAGCCAGGGCAATTCAGCAAGATGCTTTCTCAAATTAGAAAATAAAAGAAGGGCTGAGGCTGTAGCTCAGTGTGAAGGCCCTCAGTTTAATCCCAATACAAAAATAAAGCAGAAAGCGAACAAGCAAATAAGCAAGCAAGCAAAAACCTTAAATCAGTCTAAATGTCCATCTCTTGAATAGTAGCCACATAAATTTATTTCCTGTGTGAAAAACTCACAGCAAATCACTCCTCCCACTCTGAATTCACAGAAGGTTGAGTGACACAGTTATCTTGGGAGGAACCTGGAGGTGAAATTCAGAGGCTGATCACATGTTTTCAGTTGAGGTGGGGCAGATCAGTTTACTGCTGTGTTGCTTTCAGCAGAAGTTTGTCCAAGTGAAAGCAGATACCCAGTGATATCTGCCCAGCGCATGACCCACGATGAGCTCACTCATAGCTTTCAGGTGACACGGTGCATCTGTCTGATTTCAGGCCTGTTCCATATGATTCTGTAAGTGGTCCCAGTGAGAACTCTGTTCTCTGGAATGCTATGATCCACCCACTACAGAATATGACTCTGAAAGGGGTGGTATGGTACCAGGGTGAGTGTTCACTTCGCTTTTTCTTCATTGTATCAGCTAGCTTTTGCTGCATAACAAATCATCCCCCAAATGAGTGGCTTGAAACAAAAATAATTGTATCCTTTTATTTAGCTCATTATTCATTGGATTATCAGGGTAGTTCTTCTGTTGCGCTGCTTCAGCTAATTTCTGGTGGGAACTCTGATGAATCTCTGCCCTGTTGAGTTGGTGTTTGGAGAACATGGGGTGGCCTCTCCCTCTGACCACGTGCTCTCTCGTTCTCTGGTGGTCTCCTTTCCTTCAGCAAGCTGCGTCATATGCATGTACCACAACACAGTGGTCTCAGAGTTCCGGGCATATCAAGAGAGCTAATCCCAAATCTGAGGCGTCTTACATTTCTGCTTATCTCATATGGGTCGGTGGCTCGTGAAGGCCACCCTTGAGGGCATGGATAGAGGGAGGGGAGCAGTGTGTGTCATTTTTGAAGACTACTCCAAATTCATCTCGCAATATTGATTGTTTTAAGGGGAAGCCAATACACAGTATAACAAGGACCTGTACAACTGCACGTTCCCCGCACTCATTGACGACTGGCGCCAGACTTTCCACCGTGGCTCCCAGGGGCAGACGGAGCGTTTCTTTCCATTTGGATTTGTCCAGGTGTGTGTTCACAGGAAGGTTTATGGACACTGGTGTGAGAGATACTGCTTATTTTTCCTGGCATCCGTACTCCTGTTTTTGCCCTCACAGTGTATTTGTCTAGAACTGAATATAAGACTTAATTATTATTTTTTTGGTACTGGGAATCAAACTCAGGACCTTGTGCTTGCCAGGCAGGCACTTGTGCCACTGAGTTATATCCTGGGCCAAGACTTAATTTATATGGGTTTACTAATGAGATAAATCTTATTTTAAAAAATCAGTAAGGAAGTACCCTGAGAAAAATAAAAAAATAAGCAAAAATAAGAAAGCTAGGGGGCCAGGGAGATGGCTCAGTAGAATAAGCACTTCCCTAGCAAGTGCAAGGGCCTGAGTTCAATCCCCAGTTCTGCCAAAAAAAAAAAAAAAAAAAAGAAGAAGAGGAAAACTAAAACCATCATGGATTCTACAATCTAGAATAAGCAGGCCTTTCTGCTTGTATGTTTGTAAGACCCATACCACAATACTGTAGCATATCTTGCTGTTGCTGCTAATGTCATACTGTTAATATTTTTTCATGTTGATAAATATTAATTTCTAACACAATTTGTAATTATTGTGAAATATTCTCAAATATAGTTGTATTGTGAAGTATTCAGCGGATATGTATGATGAGTATTTAGGGTATTTTCAACATTTTGATTTTATAAGTAGTGACATGTTCATTCTACTTAGAGTGAATTCTTGGTGGCCTAAATCTTTTTTTTTTTTT